AGATAGATAGATAGATAGATAGATAGATAGATAGATAGATAGATAGATAGAGCTCCTGTGTGTAGCTGAATGTGAGCGTTGATGACTGGAAGACATCTTCTGCCTCCATTTATCTGTTTACTACAGTCTGTTGGACTCATCTTCATGTGGATTTAAAGACATTTACATTAGTTGAAACAATATTTTTTAAAAAGTCTAATCAACCAAAACTTTGGCGACCCCCATGCAGAACCTCCAGGACCCCCTAGGGTTCGCGGACCCCCTGGTGAAGACCTCCGGATTAAAGGTGTCATAAGTTGTTTATTTAGACCTCTCCACATGTTTGCAGATCTTGGATGTTGGTGAGAGTATGATCGTGCCTGATGAGTTTACAGCGGAGGAGAAAAAAACAGGCATGTGGTGGCGGCATTTAGTGGCCGGGGGAGGGGCGGGGGCCGCCTCCCGGACCTGCACGGCCCCCCTGGACAGACTCAAAGTGCTGATGCAGGTAAAGCCACACACACTTGAGCCCTTCAGGGTCTGAGCAGCTCGGGGAATTAGTTTTGGTCTTCCCTCTGTCCCAGGTCCACGCCTCCAGGAGCAACAGCATGCACATCACCAGTGGTTTTTCCCACATGATCCGAGAGGGGGGGATCCGCTCACTCTGGAGAGGGAATGGTATCAACGTCATCAAGATTGCTCCAGAGTCGGCTATCAAGTTCATGGCCTACGAACAGGTTCGCTTGCATGCAGCTAACACGCTAAGGCAGCTAACACGCTAAGGCAGCTAACACGCTAAGGCAGCTAACACGCTAAAGCAGCTAACATACTAAAGCAGCTAACTCCTGCTTTCTCCTGCCGTGTGCTGAGAGCTTTTCTAAACAGCAGCTGATGTCCCGTCTGTCAGATTAAACGATTGATTGGAAGCAACCAAGAGACCTTTGGCATCGCAGAGAGGTTGGTGGCGGGTTCGCTGGCCGGAGCAATAGCCCAGAGCAGCATCTACCCCATGGAGGTGAGAGACCAGTGCACAGTCCCGGAAAACTTTAGTTTCAATTCAATTTTATTTCTATAGCTCCAGAGCCCTAAAACAGCAGGGATCTCCCAGCTTTCCAACCAGAGGAGCTCAGACTCTGAGTTATTTCCAGAAGAACAACAGTTCCACCAAGAGCAGCACTAGGAGACACAGGGAGGAAACAACTGCCTTTAGGGGGGAGAAACCTGGAACAGAACCAGTGTCTTTTTTTAACTGAGTGATAAAGATGAAGAATCTACCGTATTTGCCCTATATAAGCTTCACTGCATTATAAGGCTGATAGAGCAGAAGCTCCAGTAGAGGCTGGTGCTGCGTTAGCATCCACCAGAAGCAGCTACGCTAAAGGGAAGCTCAGCTAACAGTCAGATAATCAGTCAGACTTTATTAACAAACACAAACCAGCCTTCTGACGACTCCGTTCACTCCCAGAATGAACAAACAGTTGTTTAGTATTTTTCCAGCTAATGTCAGTGAGCTAGTGTTTTAGGGACACAGTTTATCTTTAACTACAACAATGTTTAATAGGTAGAGCAGCATTTTTATCAGTAGTGGAGGGAACTTTTCCTCCATTCAGTAAATAACAGAAACAGTCTGATACGTTAGGGTAAATCAGACGTTAGCATCACAACATATAGCAGCTAGCATAAAGCTGACCAGCTTTTCTTTAGAACTATTTGAACTAGTTGTTGTCGTAGTTGGGATCAGATTCAACGTTTTCCTTTAATGTCCACAATTTAATTGACAATTGAAAGCTTGTATGTGCCTTATAGAGCGGAAAATACAGTAGTGATTCAGTCTTCCCTCCAAATCCCAGCTCTCATTACATCCTACATCTCCAAAATGGGCGAATGAGAAAGTCAGTAATATGAGTGTCTCAGATGGAGGTCAGATGGAGACTTCATGGCATTTTCGAGCCGTCTTGTTGGAGTCCAGACGGCAGGTTTTTACAGCTCCTAGCTAAACGCTGAAAATGGCACGTTTTCCTGTCCACGCAGGTGCTGAAGACCCGGTTAGCTCTGAGGAGGACCGGCCAGTACTCTGGGATCCTGGATTGTGCCAAACATATCTTCCAGAAGGAGGGTGTGGGTGCTTTCTACAAGGGCTACATTCCCAACCTGATCGGCATCATTCCCTACGCTGGGATTGACTTGGCTGTCTATGAGGTGGGTTTACATTACTGAGGGAATGCCTGTTTTTTATCTGCTGTCTTTTCTGTTTCTGCATTTAGCAGATTATTTTATCCCGTTTTGGGCTTTAAAGCTGTTTTTGATGGTTTCAAAGCAGTTTGGGGGGCTTTTAAGCTGTTTTTTAGGCTTTAAGGCTGCTTTTGGGGGGCTTTTAATGCTGGTAGCTCCTTCCTCCATCTTGGAGCAGCAGCTGGAAACAGTCTGACCGTCTGAACGTGGAGTCCTGTGTTAATTTTGGATGCTGCTGGCCTCTCCCCTCCCAGACCCTGAAGAACTGGTGGCTGCAGCGCTTCGCCACGGCCAGTGCTGACCCGGGGGTGCTGGTGCTGCTGGCCTGTGGCACCACCTCCTGCACATGTGGGCAGCTGGCCAGCTATCCGCTCGCTCTGGTCCGGACCCGAATGCAGGCTCAAGGTTGGTAAAAACAGAGTTCTGTTGGACATCAGAGGAGCGACGTGGGCCTGATCAGCTCTAACCCAATTCTGCTCCATTTCTAAGAACGATGGGACCTCAGATAGAGACCTTATTTGTTTAAGTCTGTCCTGGTTTCCTTCGAGACGCACAGCCCAGTAATGATGATGATTGTAAGGGGTTTGAACTCTAGATGGATCAGTTAGATTAATAACTTCCTTTTTGTTTCGGTTTGAGGTTCAGTTACTGCTTACTGAAGTTTTGTGCACATCATGAAAATGAACCAGGAAGGAGTCGGTCCATGGTGGAATTTCTTTCTGAGTCTTCCCTCTGTTGGTTCTTCTCAGCCACTGTGGAAAAAGGACCTCAGATGACCATGACGGGCCTTTTCAGACACATAGTGAGGACTGAGGGAGCAATGGGACTGTACAGAGGCCTGGCCCCCAACTTCATGAAGGTCATCCCGTCGGTCAGCATCAGCTATGTGGTGTACGAGTACCTGAAGATCTCTCTGGGAGTACGTTCAAAGTGAGCCGGACAACCACCATGCCCAACAGGCTTTAGTTTTATTCCGCTTTATTTCTCATCATGTGGAGTTGTAAGAAGTGAGCAACTGAAAGGAAAAGTTTTCGAGGAAATAATCAGTTGCTAGGCAGGAAACGATGTCCAGAAAATGACGAAACGGTGACTGGAGCCAGGTGCTGTGGTTGGCTGGTGGTTCCTGCTGTCCTCCGGACCACCCGGCAGAAATCTGCCTCTGGTGAGCCTTCAGATGTTTACAGGAAGCTGAAGGACACATAGCTGTCCACTGGAAGGGCTAGCATACATTACGCTACCTGCTACTTATCATTCAGATTGCACTAAATAGACGAAATCCAACATCTGGAAGAACAATGCATGTGCATACAGTGTGCGTGGACTAAGAAGATGATGCAAATATTATATTGGATATTATCTCGTAACTTCTGCCAACATCTTTGTTGACAAAGCATCATCTGCTTTGCTACTTAGCAGGTTTCACTCCCTCCTGCAGCCAGCGTGACCATAGGCTGTTCCACAGAAGAGATCAAACCTTATTATGGAACACTGAACTCCTCTTTATGTGGGGAAATGTTTTAAATTATTTCCATTATTGTGAATTTCATTTTTAAAAATATTCTTTTATTTATTTAGTCTTCTCTCTATACTCCGGTGGGTCGTCCACATTATTTATACTTTTTTTAATGACTTAAGGAGCATTTCTTTTCTCATGTCATGATGCTTTCTCTCCCATTCGACACCTCTGGTGTGTTTTGCTGTTAGCATTGTTGAAATGTGAAATGGAGCCGCTGATCACACTCTGAGCGTTGTGAATCTTTGGTTGTGTTGAGTTTTGAAATAGGCAAAAAAATTAAAATGATTTTCTTCCCCCTTGAGATTTAAGATGTCTTTTCTACCCAAAGCTTTACTGTCATGTTTCCAGTGGAAGCTACAGGAACCTGCACATTTATTGAAATGACCCAATAATCACATGATGTGTTTATCTAGAAATAGTCCTTTTTATATGCCACATAATTATATGTTGAGATTATATTTGATTGCTCATGAATATTTCTCGTCTTTTTTTATTTAAGGAAGTCTTTTTTCTTCAGTCACACATCAGTTTAACGAACACCTTCAGGATAAAACCTTGTGTCCTAACAGTGAGAGTGAAGCTAAAACTGTCTGGTGGATACTTCTGCATATTGGTTTCTCATTATTACTGCACACATTAACTTTACTAAACTAGATCGAAGACGGAAGGATCTCTCCTTAAATCTACGGTCTTCTTTAGACACACTCAACACTGTTCAGTCTGGATTTAACACACTGCTGAGGTCTAATTTCTCCTTCTGGTGTGAGCAGTGAGGCAGGAAGTGTCTAAAAACAAGTTCACCCAAAGGTCTGGTCACACATCTCAGTCGGTGAGAACAAAAGAAATTGTTCAACTCTTTTTTTCCTATCATAGTTTCAATAGTTTTCTCCATGGTTTCAGTTTGTTTTTCTGCTTAGATAAAGGACACTTAGTCTTGGAATTGAACACACAAAGGGTAGTGAGGCTGAAAGTAGGCCTTGTGTCTATTTCAAAATAGCTCAGGGTAAAGGAGGAAGGGAAATGATTGCAACAAGCAAAAGAAAAGACAACCAAAGAAAAGATTAGAGATATAAGGCCTGAGATTAAACACGGACCCATAGAGGAATTAATTCATTCAATTCTGACATTTCTGCTCTGAAAGGTGAGCCTGTTTCATCAGTAAATAATCTTCTATTTTGGGCTCTCATTTCAGATTTGCTTGAGTTCTTTTGGGTCGGGGAACCAGTAAAGTTCTGGTCTTTGAACCTGGCTGGCAGCCCGCCGGGCGTTTTCTCCTCTGACTCCATCAGATGGCAGTGAAAGCATCCACTAACACAAACATTTAGGTGGACGTAGGGTTTTTTTCTCATATATATAGGGTTTTCCATCACAAACCGTCTGAAGTTCAGTATCTGAGTTTCTGAGGGACTCGGATAGTTGTGAGTTCTGAGAAAGCTCCAGACAAATGTGCACTCCAGTTTATTTTTATGTTTGTGAAATAGCCTTTTATCTGATAGTCATTTCCTTTTTTAGTGATGTTTTGTAAACTTAATATATCTGAAAAACCTAAGACAAATGAAGACAATGAACTCAAACACAAAAACCGAAAACTCTAAATGTAATGGTATGGATAAAGTCATGTAGATGATGAAGTGACTGATCATTAACTTTAATCCTTCTTATTCCCTGAATCACAGCCTGGGTCTGGCTCTGATTTCTGACTTTGAGAGTGAATACTTCATAAAATTTCTTCATAGGTGGGTTGGGAAAATCTCTTAGTTTCCTTTGCTAGAAAATTGATTTAAAATAGTTTTGCTAGAAAATATCTATGATAATAAAATAACACACACTTTAATTGAATAAAAAAGATGACATGGTAAAAGTGCATATAAATTGCTCATTAATTTCCATAGCTTTTCACGTTTTGGGGGTATATGATGGGATGTGAGCACTGACTACAGATTATACTGAAGAGCAGCAAAACTCTGTGATCTCATTTGAGGAGGACAGACTTGTGATGTTGGAGCGGAGCATGACTGAGAAACAGACGTAAGCGGGTCAGAGCAGGTTCCCCTGATGTCCATCTGTTTTCAGACCTGTTTCTATGTCCAAGGCAAACCTGCTCTGATGAATCAGAATGAGTTCTCAATGTTTAATTGAATTTGGTTTTGATTTCCTGACATCATTCTTCTGGAGCCTTCTGCTGAAATCCAATCTAAGACTCATGAATCTTTGTTGACATTCTAGTGACTGCAGTAGTTCTGATGACAATAGAGATTAATCTGATTTACCTTAGAACATTAGATCTGATCTCTGCTGCAGGCTCTTTATCAGGAAAGCTCAGAAATCAATAAAATATCAATAAAAAAAGCATTCACAGCTCATCCAACCAAAAAGTACACATCTGTGTGCATTTGTATGTATGTATGTATGTATGTATGTATGTATGTATGTATGTATGTATGTATGTATGTATGTATGTATGTATGTATGTATGTATGTATGTATGTATGTATGTATGTACAGTATGTACAGTATGTATGTATGTATGTATGTATGTATGTATGTATGT